AAAAGACAAGCCACCGACTGGGAGAAAATATTTGCAAAACATATATCTGTATAGCAGGAACATAAGAACATACTCAATAATGTCCCATTTCAGCATATAAGCCTCTGCTTCATTCTTTTCATAAATAAGTAGTATTTCATAGCATTACATATTATCACGTATGTCCCCATTTCTCCATTGCTACAATTTAGGTGAAACTTTCAATATTTTTACAACAAAGAGTGCTGTTTTGAACATCTTTTTACAAAGATCTTGTAAATGCATAGTAAGCTCCTAGATGTAGAATTGGAATACAAATTGCTCACAAAAGCCGATTCCAATTCACATTCCCAATAAAATCAGAGAATCCATATTTCTCAACAGATTCTGAAACAAAATATTATCAACTTAGTTTTAATTTTTGCCAATATTGTAAGTGAAAAATATTATGTTGATGTTAAGATTTGTATGTTTCTAGTTCGGGTTGAGTCTATTTCTCTATTTTTCTTTTTTGTCACTTTTATTTATTTATTTATTTTCTTGAAATTGCCTGCTCATATTCTTTACACACCTTCATAGAGTGATTTAACTTTTTCTCTTACTTGTGGCTTATATAATGTGCCCCTTGATCATTTTATGTTATATTTGTTGTAAATATTTTGCCTAGGGTATCCCAAAGTTTGGATTTTGCTTATGGTGCCATTGATTACATGGAACTTTACATTTTTATTCAAGAATTGATGAATCTTATAAAATGTTTTTTCTCAGTGCCTAGATATTTTCATTTTAAAAATTGTTTAAGCTGTGATTTTGGTAATAGATTCCCTAACAGAAATCCTCCTTGTATTCCTGAGATACTGATGGCAGTTAACATTGATTGAGAGCTGCATATGTGTTAGGTACTATTCGAAGCACTCTACAAGGAATAATTTGATATCATGATCATATGTGATTTATTACAAAAGAACACAAAGGTTTTTATGAAATGAGTCAGTGGGACAGGCCAGCTAGTTTAATTCCAGGATATATCTTCTTAACCACCATGCTATACTTATCATCATTTTCTGTTTAATAATCAGTTCTAGAAATCTGGCAGAAATTTATATAATGTTAACTAGTGTATAAATTATCAAATGCATCCATATTACATTTTGTGTCAATTTTTTCAAAATATTGCCTCATTCACTCTTTACAGTTCCACAAAAAGTTTTGGTAATAATTCTAGTATCACTTCAAGTTTACTTGAATATAATTTATAGAAGACAGAATGTTAGATTCATGCATATTACATGTGTGCTTCAGATTTGGTCCCATAAAGGTAAGCAAAATATGCACTTGATAGCTCTCACAATATTTATTGTAATAGAAAAGGTTGAAAGCAAGCTAATTGTCAGTTGGAGTCTAGTCAGAAACCTGGTGGTACATACATAGAATGGGATAGTATACACCATGAAAAAGAAAGAACCAGCTCTAAATATCATTTTACAGACTTCAGCTAATACCTAGAGTTAATTGAAATGGCATAATTACATAGTTACTGTGTTATCATTCGTACAAAAATAACTATGTATTTCACACATCTGTGTTGGTGTATGCATAGAATTTCTCTGGATAAACAATTTCAAGTGTAACAAAAAATAAAATTTAAAAGATCACTGAAAACAAATATTTTAGCAGCAACTCACCATTTTCTCCTGTTAGTCTTTCATTTCCTTTCAGAAATGCTTATTTTACCTTTTCTGGTTTAAAGATGTTGTTTGCATATTCATTTTCAGTAAGGAAGACACAATTGAAATCTGAATTCACTAGCTGTCTTCTCTCGTATTCTGTTTTATTTCATAATATATTTGTGCCAGATGTTAATATAATTTTAAAAATCTTCTGAATCACTTTTCTTCTAAGAATCATTAATAGCCACTTTTTTCCAAACAGCATATTCTTCTATATCATCGAGATAGTTTATTTCACGTCGAATTTTTAAAAAGAATTAATTGAAGAATAACAACAAAGACACAAACAAAAGCAACAAAACCGAAATCAGGAGGCAATGGGCTCTTCAATTATCTTTACTACTATACAGGCCTTGNAGAGTTGCTATAAACATTTATACGCAGATTTTTGTGTGGACATAAGTTTTCAACTCATTTGAGTATATCGGAGCATACTTCTGGATTGTATAGTAAAACTATGTCCTTGAGTAATTGAAGTCCCCCATTTCTTCCTTTTCTGAAGTCTGCATTAGGAGTGTGTTGTTCCCATCCTTTCTTCTCACTTTACACTTTATCATCAAATGGCTTTCTTGTTATTTTGTTGTTGTTGTTCTTTTTTTCGAGTCATGAAGCTTTGCAGTAAGTTATTTTTCATCAATTATAAAAAATTACACGTATAGTTTAGAAATCTAATAAGAATGACATTTAGGTATGAACTTATAAGTAAAAATTTATGCATATATGTTATATGATCATTTCACTTAAACTATTTTCATGAAAACGTGAATATGTTAAGTCAATGATAACATTACAGTTAAAATCTTTCATATAAATTGATAGAGATATTTAAAATAATAAAACATACCATATATAAATTTTATCATCCAAATTTTTTTAATCTTTCTTTTTGTTCATTTTTTTGAGGCATGAAGCTTTGTAGTAAGCCCTCTATTTTTCACCAATTATGACAAATTATACTTACATATTTTAGAAATCTTACATAAAAATCTTATATATTTAAATCATATATAAAATATTTCACATAAATTGATAGAGATATTTAAAACAATAAAACATATCATATATAAATTTAATCATTCAAATTTTGAAATATAAGCAATTTTTTGGTATCTTTATTTATTTATTTATTTATAACTGAAACATAATTGTTTGTACATATATGTGGGGTGCAGCATTGGATAACAATGCCTGTGTACAATACATTATCCTCAAATCAGGATGATTACATTTTTACTTTTCAAAGGAACTGCCAAAGTGTTTTCCAGAGTGGCTGTATCATTTTGCATTTTGACCATCAATGTATGAATGATCCAGATTTTCTGAATCCTCACCAACATTA